CATGCAGACCTGAAGCCTGCTGAATTCTCTGGCCAGTCTGCACAACTGACTTGGTTGTGCAGATGAGCAAAGCTGCTGGTTGGGACTATTACTTGGGCGCTGCAGGTATGAACTTGGTCTCTGAAAATCTGAGTGCTGGTTGTTGCAAGCCCCTCCCCCTATCCATCACATTCAGATTCCCAGCAGTCAAGCCCTGCGATTCCCCTGTAAATCCCCATGGGACGAGATTGGAGTGGGGGATCCCAAAAGTGACCCACAATGCTGGGGGGACCGTAGGCTCAGGGGAGACCTCTGGGTGTGGGGCTGCGCTGGCCTGGAGGAGGTGCAGTGTGGTCAGTGGGCAGCTGCTCCTTTTATCCTTCTAATGTGGCCTGCCTTGATTTCTGTGCTGCAGGGGGTTGCTTTAGCCTCAACCTCATGTTCTAGAATTCTCTCTGTGGTGTCTTGTCCATGAATAGTTGTTAGTTCTTCTTATGAGGAGTGAGGTCAGGAATGACATATGTCGCCATCTTGGTGATGTCACCTGTCACCATCCTGTTTTATTGGTCAGGTCTGGAAATGCATTTTAGACATCTCAAACACTTCTTCTTGTTTTGCAAGGAGACAGACATCAAGGCCTCTGTCGCAGGTTCTAAGGTAAGATGCTTTACTGCCAGTTGTGTATTATTAGTAGTTTCTAGCAAAGCCTGTGCTCATCAGTACTTTGTGATCTTGCCTAATAGTTGATTTCGGTTATCTTGTGTAAACTCATTTCAGAAAGGAGGAAATTGGGATCTAAAATGAAGTGTCTTGCTAAATTGTCACACTTGCATATTCCATAGCTTTACCTCATTGACTTGCATCTTCTCGAGTTAAGCCTCAATCCCTTTTGCCTGCTACACGGAAGAGAAATTCTTCCATACACCCCATGTTGAGGTTTTGGGATTGGGGCATTTGGTGATGTGTGGGGAGGGAAATAGTATATAGTCTTTGTGGGAAATTGTGATAGGACCTCAGCTGCGTTTGAAGGGTGTAGTAGAAAGAAGAGTCTTTTACCCGTTCTTCTGGACATCTGAAAACATATCCACCAGAAATTCAAGTTAAAGTCACGTTGAAGTCATGTTCTCACCTCTGCCCATTTCTGCTGGATCTCCTGGCCATTGAGAAGCAAGTGGGAATGAGCATGGCTGGGTGAGTTAAAAGGTTAAGACAATCTAGTGCATTTTGATCTATAATTCATCACAACCATCCGAGGCTTTTAGGGGATAGCTAAGAGAAACACAGTTGGGCCTAGACAAAGTGTAAGAATGAACACTTGGCTGCTGCTGTCACATCCTGTGAGTGTGGCCAGATGATGATGGGACTCAGGGGAGAGAGGACCACTTCGTACCTGTGGAGCAGCGTACTGGCAAAAGGCAGTGCCGAGACATCCGTTATTTCCAGTCCCAGTGTTCACGGGGCGGGCACTGAGTATACGGCCCTTGATTTCTTTTGTGAGCTGTTTGAAATCACTAGCAGAAAAAACCTGTTCTGAATGTGGGAATAGGGCATTTGGCTTTATAAACTCCCCAGTTCTTATCAGCTTAGGGCAATTTTCTGAGGCACAGATGAGACTCATTGTCCCCTCTCCCCTCTAGCCACTGTTCTTACTTTCAGATGTCTCATTTTGGGGTGGGGAAGATGATTTGGATTTTCTAGGATTGTTTTGACTGTTCTTAAGAAGCTGAGATCAGCATTGTTGCTCTGTGGCAGAGCTGGAGTGCTGTGCATGGAGACCGCAGTGATGGCCCGTCGGCAGTGCAGTGCTGTCATCGGGGTTTCACGTCGGACAGCCTATCCTTTCCACTGTGTATTTTGTGCGCTTGTCTTGGGAGAGTAATGGTGTTCTGTGAGAGGAGGGGTGGGGCAGGTCCAAGGACCTCTAGGAAACCACTTTTCAGACTAACTGGCCCTTGGAACACCTGCCCCTGTCTGTCGCGTGAGTGTTGTGTTGAGTGAGCACACTTTGGAAACAGAGAGCTAGAACAGGTCCTGGCATTGTGATGTTGATCCTCCTTCTGGCCGTAGTTACAAGAAGAAGAACACTTTTCCTTCATAAGAGGATTTCCATTAGAAATAAATGTGGCTTGTGCTCTCAGCAGAGTGACAAGTCTGCTGTCATAGGCCCCTTTGGACCCTGGTTTGGAGGTGGGCCAGCCCATTCCTGTGACTTAAACCAAACCATGTGATTTCAAGACCCCATGAAAACCCAGTGACTTTTCAACCAGCCAGAATTTTGCAGAGCTCATACTTCAAAGGACTTCAGTGCAAAGGCTTGAAAAATTTTTTTTAAATGATTAAAAACTCAGAAGGATACTAACAGGAGAGAACTTGAGTAAATGGCAGCTTGAATTTGGCAGGACCAGCTCCAGAAATACCAGGAGCAGGTTTATCTTGCATTTGACTGTTAAGATTTTGAACTTTCTTGCTGACCCCTTCACACCCAAGGCCTACATTCTAGTTTTAGGGAAAAAGTGTTCTTGTTCAGGTAAATATTTTAACTTGAGCGTAATTTCTCATTCCAAATTTGGGTTGAATTTAAGCATCTGGCCTAACAAAGTTTCTAATTTAGTGTTAATTAGCATGGTCAAAGAGTTTCACTTGAATTTTAAGCGCGATGTGTGTGGGCAGTGGAGAATGGAGGCTTCACTGCTGTTCGTTTGTGGGCATATTATGTTACGGTTTGTAGGAACAGGGCCTTTTCCCCTCCCTTAGGAAGCAGGAATCAGTGTGGTTAAACTCTGGAAGCACTGGTGACGTAGAGCCTGTGGGTGCCACTGGAGAGCTGTGAAAAGAGGATAAAACAAGAGGAAGAATTTTCAGGACGTACTAGCATCTTTGGGGACTTGAGTAGTGACAGAGCTAGGCCAGTTTAGGGGAGAGGTAATACTATTTTAGTGCCATCTGGGATGTTCTGCAGCAGTAGCACAACTTCACCATGGCAGTTTTTAAAGTTTCCTAATTTGGGGGTCTTCATCAATTAGCTGACTGCATTTGGTTTTGCAGTATCAATCAATTATTAGAGTTTTACTCCAGATGTTTGGAGGACCAGTATTTCCGATTAACACCTCACTAGTAACAAGTATTCTTCTTCCTTCTAAGGATGCTGTAAAAGCGATGTCATGAGAAGGTGTGATAGAATGGATTATGAGTCGAAGAGTAAAAGCAACCACGGGCCGATACTCTTCAAACTGGACAACAGTGCTCTTTTTACCCATCAGTTGTGTCCCAGTGATGTGAAATACAGTTGGAACTCTGTACAGATTCCTAGCACTTGGCACGCCTTGCCCAAAGCACTCAGAAATAACTAGCTGATTCCTGTATGTCACCCTGACACAGACACGCGGAATTCTTGTGTACTGAGATACAGAATTCAGAGATGTCAGCCAAGCCATGCCTCCTTCATTCTCAAGAGAGTTCCTTATGCCGCACAGCTCAGGACCCAAAGACGCCATGGGTACCAGGGGTTGGGGGAACCTCAGAGATGAGGGCAGTAATAATTGCAAATTGGTCCCATGAAAGTAGGTCCGACCAACATGTAAGCACTGGGTCCGGTGAATTTGTATCCTAGATGTGATTAACCGGAAGTATGACTTTATTTTGCAAGTTTTAAGATTCTTTTCCAAATTCCTTTAATTTGTAGTTTTTACAGAGGTGTAGAGCATAGTATTTAATTGTAGATGCCAGTTTTATAGCCATATTAGTCTTGTGTTCACAAGTGGCACATCTTCCATCCCCAGGGTTCACTTGATAATGAAACAAAATGATGGCTTAGTTACCATCTTCTGGACCCTACAAACTGGGACATGATGCACGTAAGCAAGAGGGAACAGACCGACCTACCTTTTTCTTACTCCAAGTTCCCAGTTCCAGAAGACCCACTGCTTCACTAGAGTGGCAGAAAAGGCAGTTTTTCAGATTGGAATGAAGCTGGTGTTTAACTGTTGGGTCAGTGGGAATATATCTGGAGTTCACACTAAATTGGTACCATCCAGACTTGTCACATGCACATCACTAAGGACCATCAGTACAGTGATGACTGGTGTGCTCATTCATCCATCCATCCATCCATCCATCCCAAGGCCCCTTGTGACAAAACACATGGAAGTCACTGTTCAGCCACTGACTGGGATGGAAATGGCCCAAGGCAGGCTGGAGAGGCAGGAAATCTCCTGCAGGGGGAGCTGCCCTCAGTTCCTAGGCTGTCTGGCCAATCTCATGTGCTTCTGAGTTGGAGGGTCACAGACAGGCTGAAGGCAAAGCCGCCTGTCCTGGAGCCATCCTAGGGTGTGGCCTTCGAAGCCTGGCAGCGCTACAGAAAGCCGCGTATTGGTTTTCTACTGTCGTACGCAGGCTCCAGGGTAATAGAAGGCTGTGACCGGGACCTGCTTTTGGTGGATGGCCTCCTTTGCAAAAGGGATGTGAGGTCAAACGACAGGACCAACGTCAGTGCCCAAGAAGACTGAGAGTTACTAGTGCTTGTTGCCACTACCTGGAATTGAGCACTGCAGTGTTTCCCCCCTCCCTCTTTTGGGGGAAGAGGGGTTGGTGAGAGTGTACATAAAACACTTCATTGTCTTAGCCATCAGTGCCTGGCTTATCACTTAATATTTATGTCGGCAGAAAACCATAAATGAGCCCTTCCAGATTTCTGATAATCTTGAGCTAAGGCTTTGCAGGCTGAGGTGGATGGGAGTCAGCAGGGGCGGTGAAAGGCATCAGGAGTGTGACTTGGCCTTGAGAGCCTCCTGCCGGGGCCGCAGGTGTCAGTCACCATGTGCCCACAGGAGAGCATCTGCAGAGGTTCTTCTCTGCTCTCCCAGCCCGATCTGTTTCCTCCTTTCGTCTCTCTGTCCTTAGCTCAAGGGCCAATGCTCAGCTCTGTCAGTGCCTGAAAATGGGCAAGAAATCCACTGGCCCTGGGCTGCAGTGGGGAACGCACTGGGTTGATCTTCCACAAAGGAATTTGCCAAGCAATGGTGTGACGGCTGGAATAAGCACTTTATTTTTATAAATGACAATAGAAAAGTACCTTTAAACAGTTTATAAAAGCATAATAGACTGTGTGGAAGTTGCTCTGTTTTGCTTAGAAACGAGTACAGAAGTCTCAGCGAGAGCCAGGCGGTGCTGGCACGTATGCAGGGCTGCAACCCAGTGGGGCACGCTGCTGTGACTGCCCGTCCCTTCGTGTCCGGCGAAGGGAAGTGCCCTCACCCCTGGTGTTTCTTGTCAGTTTTTTGTTTTTTATGATGACCTTTAAAAGCTTCTTGACATCTTTATTTCTAATGGAAAATAATGAAACAAAAATACCCCCAAACCAATGATGTAATCATTAGAACACGGAAATCTTCAGCACAGTGTGAGCAGGTCAGTAAGAGAGCTGCGATCATGCTTAGCTGTTGGCAGTTGGAAATTCTTAGATCGATACATTTTTATACATGGCTCTTCTATAACAAGGAGAGACAGTCGCAGACTTTGGAAATGTGTCAGTTTATGACACAAGACTGACTTTGGGTCTGAAGAAGTCTTGAGCCAGCTCAACAGTATTCCTTCCGGCCGCACCCTGTCCGTGCGCTGGGGTGTAGGTAACACCACAGTGAGCACATGTGAATCAGGATACTGTTTTAAACGGGCGCGGTGCTGCCAAGACCCAGAGCACCAGCTCAGTTCACCCAGTGTTCTGCAAAATCCCTTGGGCGATGTGAGCTGCCCATTGCAGCCACGCAGGTTGGGTAAAGCCAGCCAGCCTCTCAAGCCAGTTTCCCCTTCTCAGTGAGACAGTCTGACGTCCACTGCGGGGTATGCGTGCTGTCAAAGAGCAACGTAAGAAAATGGCAAAACCCACCGCTCGGCACAGTTTCTCTAGTCACTCTGGAGCGGCCAGGGCTTTCTAAGGGCACGTCCTCCTCAGGAATTTGTACCAAAGAAAGGCTTCTGTGCCCAGCTGTGAACACGCCGCCCTGGCAGAAAGCCCTGGAGGCTTTTGATTGTCGTGCAGGGACATCCTACTGGGACTGGAGTGTGCGCCTAGTCCTGCAGACAGCACGGGTCTGTCCTCACATCTCACGCCACGGCACTGACTTACCCTGGATCAGGCCAGGCAAACAGACTTCCTATACATTCACCATACGATTCCGGCAATTTTGATAACATTTAAAAACATGCCCCAAACATGCAGCTTATTTTAGAGGGAAAAAATAGATATTTTTAATTACAAGCATTCAAAGTCAAGCACAAAAATTGTGATCCAACCCAGTGTAAGATCCTCCATCCTGTCATACTTAAAATGTTTGATATAAAAATACTCACTCTCTCGGTTTTATTGTTGACATCTTTTATGTTTCATTTGAAAATATCTCAACTGTACAGAAATGTACGTCAGGCCATGCATTCACAAATAACACACTATTTCTTACAATTATACAGTGTAAAAGAGTAAAACATTTTTATTATATTTTTTTTCTTCAAGAAAAACAGATGTGTGATAGAGGCTGTGGCAAAGTCTTGAAGGGATCAAAACTGGGCAAGGTTTTTCAAGCCTGAAACAGAAAGAAAATGGATAAGGGGAGCAGGGCTCACAGGTGTGCGCAGTGCCTGCTCCTCACTGCAGGGCTGTGTTGGGAGGGGCCTGCGGCTGGGAGAATTCGTGCACGGGTGAATCCCTACAAAAGACCATGGGTGTCTGTATATAACAGCTTAGAATATACGCACTGACCCTCCAGTAACGCCCACTCACAAGAGTATCAGTGGTCTCACCCTAGATATGTGCGGAATATAGATTTAATTTCCACTTATCTCTGACTGGGAACTTTTCAAGACTTCCTTTTCCTGCAGTTGCAAGGAAATGCTCATATTTGTTTTGCTTTGTGACAGAAAAAGGGGACTTTGGCAGAGTCCCACCCTGGTCCCAGGAGTTTCTTAAATACATCTCAGCTCGTTTGTGTCTGGCTTCGCTTCTGTAAAGGCTGCATTGTAAAACCTCTACCATCAGTCTGTCATTCATTTTACACGCAGACCTCATTTTATTGTGCTCCGCTTTATTGTGCTTCACAGATAATGCGTTTTTTACAAGACTCTCCACCAGCAAAAAGATTACGACTTGAAGGCTCAGATAATGGTTAGCATTTTTTAAGCTGTGTACATTGCTTTTTTAGACATATGCTATTGCACACTTAATAGACTACAGAATAGTGTAAACATAACTTTTACATGCGCTGGGGAACCACCAAGTTCCTGTGACTCGCTTTATTGCAGTGGTTTGGAACCAAACCCACACTATCTCTGAGGTGCACCTGCACTTGTCTCTAACTCTCAAGTCCCTTGTTTTCTCGCCATCTTATCAGTACGTCAGACTCACGTGAATCTGTGGTTGTAGAAGAGGTCTATGCTGAAGTATATCAGCACACACTAGAACTCTGTGCGGGGAAATGCTTATTTGTGTGTGGGAGGAAGCTATAAAGAAAAAAGCATCATTACTGATAACAACCCATATAAACGTCCTAGTTAGCTATGTGGGAAAAGGTGGATTTAGCAGTAATTCCTGAAATCGGAAACAGATCTAGATGAGCACTCTCAAACGCAGCTACTTGGACGATCTTGCTAAGTTCCATCTGAGGATTGTACACAGTGCCGGCTGCATCTGCATCTGGACTGTGAGCCAGTCTATCTTGTCATAGCCTAGTTTGTAGATGACAGTACAGATGGGTGCAAATAATAATGGGCCAAAAGTCAGAAGACCCAATATAATTATCACAGACTTATGGGTCACGAAAAACCCCTGGGCAGAAATCAGGGTGTAGCTTTCAAGAGAAGGGGTCTGGACATCCAGAAGCTCATCTGTAATGTCAGCATAACACCTACCTGTCTCTCTGGCTTGTTGCAACCATTTCATTAGTCCTGGCAGCACATCAATTTAATGATGCTTATTATAGAGAAAGGCCAAATTAGAGTTTGGAAATGCTCTCAGCTCAAGCTCTGGGAGGCGTGGCACACAGCCCCACCTCCCCCCTTTACTTTCTCAGCAGAATCCTCTGAAACAGGAGGATTTGTCTAGCAGGAGTGAAGGAAGAGGTAAATTCCTTCAGGAATCTCACTTTCTGACTCCTTGCCTCCCCTGATGCCCAGCACAGCAGAGGGATCAACACCGCCCCCACCCCCCTTGCCAGATGTTCCAGGATGGAGAAATCTAAGTGGGCTGGGACATGCCATCTTTGGTACAGGTCACATGTCCTGTGATGCTTAGTGAGTGGGGCCAGCAGACGAACCCTCTCGAAAGCTGTATCTCTTCTGCTACACTCTGATTTCTACCCGGCAGGGGGCGGGGTGCCGGGATCCCACGATCCTGGTGCATGCAGCATGGCGCAGCCCCAGGGGTGGCAGGACTAAGAGAGTGCCCAGACTTGGGGCATTTTTCCACGGGGTCAGGATGCAGGGAACTATGGGCCCACGAGCCCTGGCCTGTCTCACATCCCCATGAATGCCGGATCTGCTGCCCTTGAACTGTCAAAGGAGCCTCCCCTTGAGAGCATGAAGAGGCGACGCCCCCCTCTCCCGCAATTCCCCAGTCACTTTACATCAACAGAGGAGAGAAACCAGCTTAGAGGAAGTGGAGACAAGGCCCAGTTTCCTTCCCCCACATTCTCAGCTTGTCAGGCCTAAAATGACAAGTTCCACGTCATCCCAAACTTGACCTCGCGCCAGCAGCCCAAGCTGTGTGTGTTGATTCCAAGAAACCGTTTCTGAGGAACAGCAGTCACTCTACGGCTGTTTTTACTTTGGAACAATTCACAGGGGACAGTACTCAGCAGCCCTTGGACTCTGGGATCCTAAGGGGCCTGTACACTGCCAAGGGCCTCTTACAGAGCACAGGCTTGGAGAGGGCCATCTTGGGAAAGCAGCTGAAACTGGAAGTGGTCAGGCAGCATCAAGACCAACGGCCTGAAACCAAAGCTGCCACACTGCCTTCAGGGACTGAGGGAGAGGGGGCTGAGTGAGTGGGCAAAGGAGCCTCTGCCACAGGTGATCGCTTCTTCCCGTGGGCTGGGCCCACTGGTTTAGGATGGACCAAGGCCCTGTGGTTTCTGCCAGCCCTCGGCTGAGTGGCAGGGGGCCTGGCTGGTCTACTTCTGCTTTCTTCTCTGTAGAGCTCAGCAACCGTCTTTGGGCAAATGCACGTTGCTAGCCCTGGCTCCTTTCTGGTTCCACTACCAGGTCCTGGACATTCCTATCAGATTTGGCCCAGACATTTCTGCCAGAACCTCAAAGGCAACATGTCTAAACCCAGATTCACCATCTGCCTTAACATGGCCCTGGCACCTGACCCCTCTGCCTGTTCTTTGTCCCTCCGTCTAGCACCTGGTGCCGCTCTACCCCGACTCAGCCTCCTCTTTTAGATCACTCTTACTTCCCGACGCCACCGCCACCATCCTGGGTTTGCCTCTCCTGGTTTGTGTTTCTCACTTGACTTTTCATTCATTTTGCCCTGGGCAGCAAGATGACAAAGATTCCTAAAACACCTCCCCCTTGCTCAGATCTCTCCAATGCCTCCCAAAACCCAAATCCCTAATACGCCCCTCAAGGCCCTCAGAAGCCTGGTCACAATCCACTTTCAACAAGAACATGCTTGTATGTTCTCGCTTCCTCCTTTCTGTTCTAATCCTCCTCAGCATACACAAACCCTACTATCTTTCAAAACTCAGTTTAAGCCCCGCTTCCTCCAGCCTCTCCTTATCCCTTCGGCCTGCAGGTCTTTCTCCTCTGAACTCTTACCAGGAGCTCTCACTGTCCAGGCCACTTGTTTGGCTTTCACAAGTATTATCCTGGATTATTTTCCTCCCTAAGACTATCTCTTCCCTCCTCCACCCCAGACACCTTGCATGTAGCAAAAATTCAGATACTTGGACTCTTGGGCAAATGAAATGGGAACAATACGCCCTTAATGGTATGTGGCACTGAGACCCCGGCCCTAGTCTTGATAATGCCCTGGAATGAGAGCCAGGACACTGTGCCCAAGGACCCACGCTGGGCTCTGCACACTGGTCCCGTGGCGCCCTGAGCACCTCTGCTGGGCAGCTTTGGCGTCGATGGGGGCCTTCTACGGGAAGCTGATCCTGGGGAGATGGGGGGGGCGCCTCCAGCTTTCCCAGGCAATAAGCAACCCACCGCGACCTCACAGTAGTCTGTCCCCTTCTTCCTGGACCCCTGAGCAGGAAGAAGCAAGGTGTACAGGTCTGGTTAAGTTGGGCTGATTAGAAAGGCTGATCTTTCGAAGTGAAAAAGAACATGGAAGGGAGGAGGGAAGAGAGAAGAAGGGGGTTGAGAGTCTATGGTTTCCTGAGCTTTTCCATAACTGTGCTGTGTAAATGTAATTCTCACATGGGAAAAGAATGCGTCCACATTGCCATAGATGTTCCCAGACTGAACAGAAGGTCAAAATGTGGCTATTTCAGTCCCTGTAAACAAGGAAGGGGTTTAGCAAGGAACGGAGTTCAGACCTTGGAATGTATTAACAAGGACATGTTAAACAGAATGCGAAGACATCCGGGAACACGGCACCGTGGAGGGGTGGGGGTGGGGTGGGAGTGTCAGGCTGTTTAGAGAGCAGATTCTCCTCACAGAGCCTTTCCTGAAAGGGGGTCAACATGACATGCATGTGACAGGATAAACAAGGGAGGGAAATACATGCAAGAAATCTTGTCTGAGGTAGGTCGCAACTGTCCCAATTGAAGACAATAGAGAATGGCTCCTGATGTCTTAAGGAATATTATACAATTCTAAAACATTCCATTTCAGTTGTCCTTGATCACAAAGATCAGCATGTGGCCCTCAGCACTTGGGGACAGCTGCTGACGGCTGTGGGGCCGGGTGCCTGCGGCCGCCAGGGGAGCAATCCAGGCCCAGGCTGCTCTTCCCAGACTCTGCTTTCCTCGTTGCTAAGTCAGAGTCTGTCTGTCTGAATCCCCGTGAGCCTTTCCTCTCAGCAACAAGAATATTCTTTCTCTATTTTCCCCTAATCCATCTACAAATACTTAACCTCTTTACTAATGACTTCTTCCCCAAGAAATTCTCTAAGATTTAGTCATTTTTATCAAAAGCCAGATAAGGAATATTCCCCTCCGTCTAACTCCCAGCAAACATGGGACATATCATATGACTTAGGGCTTTTAATGAACAAGAATGGCTCAGTCTTCAGTAGTGAGCAACCCCTCCCTGTGCTACAGACGCATCCCGCCCACCCCTCTACCAACAAGCCGGCAGGCTCCTCCTAGGCCAGGCCTCTCTCTGCTCCCCCCAGGGCAGGCCGTAAGGACTGTCATCGACTTCAGATTTGGGAAAAGGAAAGCTGCCTCCAGACTCATTCTTGTCGGCCCTGGATGCCCAGAACTGGTGAGCCCCAGCATGAATGTGGCTAGTGCCAAAGACACCCTTCTCCCCACCTGGCCCGTGCTGGGCAGCCGCCCCACCTCCTCAGGCCTGTCTGGGGTGTCTGGCTGCCCAGGACAGTGGCGCGGGTCTCCTCCCCAGTAGGCCCTCCCGTTGTCTGCATGAAGACAGCTGCTGCTGCCGCCAGTCTGGGCTCATCTGCAGGTGCCATGAACGACTGATGTTTGGGTCAATTTACTGCATTTTAAAAAATCATTATTCTAACCTGCTTCCAAAAAATTGTATGGGGGGCTTTTAATTGGTCTTTAAATTTCTCCAGAGAAGGGGGAAAAAAACCCAACAAAATCTTGTCTTTTAAAAAAATTTTACTGAGTGGTAATATTGGTAATATCATGGGCATTGCTATTCGGAAGCATGACAAAAGGAAAATCTAAAAAATTCAAAGGCTATGGAATTAGTGGGATGAATATCAGCTGCCCTATGTGATGTGGAAAACGTTTACCTGTCGATAAGTCTGGTTAGTGTGATACAGATGGCGGGAGAAAATAGACCCCAAGTGCAGGCTGCTGGCTTCCCGTGCAGGCAGCGGGGAGGCGGGCTGCAAACCCATACACCCTGGCCGTGTGTCCCTCTGGACAGGCCCCGAAAGGTATTATTCTGAGCAGGAAATTACTTAAGCCCCAAATATGTAGTAATGATCTCCTTGGCCAGAACTGCCTGGTTCTCTGTCCTCAGCAGGAATCTTGCCCTCTTTCTGACTCATCTCTTCTTTATAGGCCCCTCGTAGGGATGAAATTTGCCACCTTATTTGGGCTGAGACATACCCACTGTTGGCCTGCCCCTGGCATTCCAGCTGTTCTAGGCCAAGCTTTTCAAAGAGACCAGAAGCCCCTGCATGTGGTGCCTGGCAGGCAGGTCACCTCTGGGAATGCTATGTTAGTTTTAAGACTACACTTACTGCTAGAAGCGGATGAACTAAGAAGTAACAGCTGGTGTCAACTGAAAAGATGGACAAATCACCAAAATCATCACCCACTAGAAGAGCCCAGCAGTCTGGAGGAATTCAGTGAGGATCCGACACAATTCAGTTACTGCCCAAGGGCAATCAATCATCACTCTATTTCTGAAGAGGCTCATGAACCTGTCCCCGAGTCACCAAGAAAGGGCTGCAATATAGTCAGAATAATTGGATTAATAAGTCAGGAGGAATATACATGTACTACATCTGAAAAAGATTTCCACCAAAATGGTTAATTTCCAAAAAGAGGCTTAAGGGCATTTACAGATAAATGAAGCTTTTCCCTAAAGGGGGGGCATCTCATTCCACGATGCTGCTGGATGAGCAGGTGTTGACAGCCTGACCTCGGCATCAGCCCAGCCTAGGAAGGCTGTGGTGAGGACCAAGTACTGGAGTGATGTGGTTTGAGAGCTTGTAAAACTCTCACCTGCTATCCTGGGACGATCTTCCCTGAGCAGGCCATGGCTGGGGGAGGTAACGAAAAGCACCTCTGACCCGAGCACTCCACACCAGCACGTCTCAACCTAGATCACGTTCACCTGGAGAGGTGGTACCACCCGGGGTGAGGGGGCCCCTCCCCAAGAGGTCTGGGGTTCCCTTCCAGGTGATGCTGGTGTGACGGTCCCAACCACACTGGTCTACACCGCTGTGCCCTGCCCAGGACATGCTGCTTCTCCAGAGGGCCTGTTCAGCCCCTGACTTTGGAACTCACCAGCACGCTCCAGTTTCGCAGAACAGCTCGAGAACAGTAGCCACTGTTGGAGATTGCGTTAATACCCACAAGACAGACTGCAGCCACCATCACACACCTGGAACCTGGGATGGAGAAAGAGATCACCATCAACAGTGCACAGTCATCTCCATGCGCAGCCTGGCCTGCTGCTGGGGTTCCCTGGGCCTTGAAGACCAGCCTGTCCCGAGGGCAAAGAGTGAGTCAGTCAAAGGCCAAGGGACCAATGGCCTCTGCTGCAGAGCTAAGGACAAGCACCACTTGAGAACAACCTTACATCAGTGGCATGAAAAGCCCTGGGCCAGGACAGCGAGCTTAGGATGAGCTTGGGATATGGGGGAGCAAGTGAGAGGAGGCTCTCAGGGGCCGGGGCAAGTACCCAAGCAGGGGTGTGGCTCCCAGGAACTCCCTGGCAGCAAGGCCTGGGGACAAGCGTGTGTGTGTGTGTGTGTGTGTGTGGGGGGGGTGACATCTGCCTCACACCTTCCTAAAGAGCGTGAGGGTGTAAATGCCTCAGGGGCAGCAGCAGCAGGAGGCTGCCTGGCCAGGGAGGCACAGCCTCTGCCCACACGGCCTCTGGGCTGGCCCCCGGACTGTCCAAAAGCTCTGTCAAGAAAAGGCACAGGACCTGAGGCCTCCCAGAAGAGGAAGAGCCTGAAACCTAACCACCTCCAGGGGCTGCCCCAGAGCACAGTAACAACTTTGGTCAGCCCACGGCCACCGAAGCAATTCTCCAGGAGAATCCTGTGCACCGATGAGCTAAACTTTGCTCCAAGCACCCACTGGAAAACAAAAAGCAAAAGGAAACATTTGCGAATATATCCTGCTTTTCCCTAGGGTCTGAGAATTTTGAAATATGAAGGTGCAGGGACCCAGCAAATAATAAATTTTTAATATTCTTTTTGCAGGCATGGCTGTTTCTGAGGCAGCTAGTTTTCACAAGAATTCCTGGTGCCGAGGAAGGAAGCCTAACTCCCTGCACGTGGATGCCAGTGGCTCTACTCCCTACTAACATTTCTCGAATTTTCAGCCTGGCCAGCGCTGCTCTCCTTTCTGCAGATGGAGAGGCTGTTTCCGGCACGCAGGCTTCGTGAACAGGAGTGCACACGTACTGCTGCAACGCTGAGCTCCCCCTAAGGGTCTCTCTGGTTTGCTGGCAGGAAGCTGCCCCTCCAGAGGGAGACCCCGTGCCCCTCTGGGGTTCAGCAGGGACTGTGCCTGTGCTGACATCCACCTCCAGGATTAGAGGTGAGGGCCAAAGGAAAGGCTGCCTTCCTAGGACATCTCTCTTCTCAGAATTAAGAAGGAAAAAGCTTTCCCCAGAATTTTATTATAAAAACATTAAAAGATGAGTTGATGTGATTCTAGTTTCCCAGTAAATGTTGGGTTATTTGAGGAGAGGAAAATAAATATTCGTCTTTGTAAACAAAACCTATCAGCTCACACAGCTTCTCCCAGCCCTGTCCACACTTGCCAAGAGCACACATGGAGGAAGGGAGCGCCTGCAGCAGCAGACCGAGGCACCTCCTGGGACTGCCCGACCGGGGCTGCATTTTAGGATGCCTGTTGTTTAAGAAATCCCACTGCTGACCAGATTCCTCTAGGCCCCTGGGCTTAAGCTAATCAGTATGACTCAGGACTGATGAATTAAAAGTACTAGGACCCTAGCTCTTGCCCCGGGCTCTGCGAACACGGGGTTTTATCACCGAGCTGCTCTTTGCACAGTTATTACACCAACTCAACCTGTCTGCACACCGGGGCTCACCTGGTGGGCAGAGAGAATGCAGGTACCAGAGTCTGCTCTACAGAGACCTTGAGAGATGACTCCTCCAAGACCATAAGACACCAGAGGCAAGTCCAAATGCGTTCATTTCTAACTTCATGGGGAGTACATAGGCCCTGTGAACTTCCATTTTAGCCAGGTAGGAAAGATGATGGATGTGGGAGGTCGGGGCAGAGGCTCCCGTAGGTGGACCTGACCTGCAATCGCTCTCGGGAGTTGTGGAGCCGCCGAGACTCAGTGTCCTGGTCTTAACACGTGGCCACCCTCCTTGAACTTCTTCCGGGGACCAGTCAGGCCACTCTCCTGGTGCATATGCTCAGGAGTCTCGAAGATCTCTCAGCAAGACTCAAAGAAAACAGATAATGGGGAGAAGGAGGAGACACAGCTTTGACTGCCTTGGGTTATCCTAACGGTCTTGGTTGGAGATGAGCTCACTGAGGGCTTGTGTGGTCAGCAGATGTCTGTTGTGCTTTAACTTACAAAGCCTGGAGGATGCGGCAGGGGCTGGAAGGGACGCCCGCCATAGTACCTGGCAGGGGGCAGGTTTTCAGACCTCTTCCTACTTAAAACTCACATAGGAAGTAGAACAGACTCCAGGCTCAGGGGGATCAGAACCAGGGCGCGTGTCCTCACTGGGAACACAGAGAAGCCTCTCTGGGAAGGGCTAATTCATGAGCACATGGAGGCGAAGTGCACGGGCTGCCTGGGCATTCTCCACCAAGGCCTCGGGAAGCCTCCCCCAGCTCAAGCCTGCTGCATTTCAACCCATTTACTCTGATTTAGCAAACAGGAGGCAAGAAGGAGCAGACTGGAGAAGTTAAATTATTCTCCAAACTTGAGTACAGTGAGGTCTATTCTGAGAAAGGAGGCCTATATAAATCTGGGAAAGCTCGGGGTCTCCGCTCGACGGGAAGTACAGGCTGGCCGGGACTCCTCTGCTCCCCGGGGAAATGAAGCCCCCGCCAAGGCCGTTACCCTCCAGACCATATTCTCCCCGTCACCTCGCCTTGCTTTTTCCTTAGCACGTCTCACCATCTGACCTAGTGCATTTATCTTATTATTTTATTAGCCATCCTCTCCCTGCTACGGAATGGCAGCTGCATGAGGGCAAGGCTCTCATCTGCTTCTGTTCACTGCTGAGCTCCAGGCTCTGTCTTGACATCCAGCACCTGGGGCTCTGCTGATGACAGCTCCATCCCCAAGGTCCTCATGCTCACAGCCAGAGACTAGGCCATTCCTCTCAAAACTAAACATAAGGGAGGAACAGCTTCAAATTCCACCCTTATCTCTTGCCATGTCCTTCTCCAATTTGGTGTGGCTGTAATGTGTGCTTATAATTTCTAGGCTGTGGTCTTGGTCCATGACCAAGGAATTGATGAGTTCTTAAAGAACACCCTCCCCATCCACCCCAACTCCTAACTCTCTCTTCCCCTTTTCATTGTTTTTCTTTTTGGTATAGCTACATTTGGATATCCCACAAGGAAAGCTGTGTGACTTTCCCTGTGAGGAGGTATTCACTTGCTCATGCTTTCCTCTTCTCGGCATATCTGGGCAATTGATCATTTCCATTATTATCATGTATTCTGCGGTTCTCTGCCACATGACTGGACCATTAGCAAAACTCTGGTGATGCGCAGACACAGCTTGTAGCCCGACTAAACACCATCCATCTAGCAAGATGCTGAACAAATGAACACACCAATAACATCCAGCCCTGACAGTCTCACTTATGCCACTGATGAAGGTACACACATGTATGCGTGCGCGCACGCACACACACATGCACCCCTGGCTTGGGAACTTTCCTCACAGTGGCTCATCCTGGAGCATCCTGAGCAATCTCTTTCTTCTCTCTTTAAGATGTGTGTCCACAACTCTCGACCATTAGAACTTCAGCTCCTTAGGGGCACAAGCCTGGTTTTGAACAATTTTATATCTAGCACATAGCAGACACGCACTATATATTTCTTTAAAGAATAAAGAGCTTTTCTTTTCTTTTCTAGTCTAGTCACTGATTTCCCATTAGAAATAGGAAATCAAAGTGGGTAAATTAAAAATCCTTGAAGGACCTGAGAAGAGCAGGCCCTGGACTACTCAGGATTGGGAAGGGCAGCGTCCCAACACTCCGCACATCAGAAGAAATGATGACCAATCTGCACATAGATTGTTATGTCTAAGAACAGCTGTCACTTCTTCTCTTGTCTTTCATTCCGTTGCCATCTTTCCATGTCGGGGAGAAGCCCCCTTGGAAGAATGGAGGAAGGTTCATGTGGCGGTGCCACTGGTGGCAACTACCCTTCATTTGGCCTTTTTGAGAGACTCATTTTGCTCTAAGATGCTTCTTTTCTTTCATCAGCACCACTGTTTTCAATACTGATTTACATTTCCCTAAGATTACATAGACTGTCTTGGAAGGGACTTGATCCAAGAGACTAGAAGGAGCCTCAGTAATGGATCCACACTGAGCTGGTCTAACTTCAGGCAGGATAGGAGACCAGAGTCCTAGCCCCAGGTGCAGTGGTAATGGGTACAATTATCCATCCTCCTTCCTAACCACCTCCCCTCCTCCACTCCCTCCAGACCCCTAGGAAGGAGTCTGGCCCAGGGCCAAAGTTGATCTCAGAACAAACAATGCATCCCCAGGAGACATTACATCTTCATGCAGGTCCTGCAGCGGTCCACAAGCCGTACTTCCAAAGAGGGGCAACTGCTAGTCCTTCTCTGGCAGCCACTGCCACCTCTAGGTATCTGGGGGACGGGTCTTTGGGGAAGGACGATTTGGAAAAACCTACGTGAGCTGATACAAACAAAGCACAGGATCCTTCTGGCTGGAACCCATGCAACTTCTTAACGATCATGTCTTCCTTTTGGCCTACATAAATGCTTAAAAAAATCCTTCCATAGGCCCCAGGCCACCATCATCCTATGCCAACTTAAACTGCCAAATTTGGAGGTCTCCTCGTCTTAACTATCCTACAGTATTTGACACTGACTCAAGCAGCTCAACACTGCCCTGCCTGGGCTCCATGCCCCACCTACCCCTCCCGTCACTCTTCATTCTTGGCAGGCGGCTCCTCCTCTGCTGACTCCTTAGATGCAGGTGAGCCTTAAGGTTTTGTCCCATTGACCTCTCTTCCAAGTTCATTAACTTCCTCAACTATGAGCTTATGCTGAATGCCAGTTCTACTTTCAACCCATCAACTCTTTCATGAGCTTCAGCATTTCCAGTTGTCTAGTCCTAGACACCTCCAGATGAATACCTACCCACCTCCCAAACTTGATAGATAAACACCCCGTCATGGAAGAGAGAGGTGCATGTGAACTGTGCCTTCTGGAGCTGTGCAACATGATAGAGCTGGCCCAACATCACCCTGATAGTAGAGGGAGGTTCCCACATGATGAAATGATTAAACCTTTTCTGAATGAAGAAACAAGGGTTGAGGATACATAACTTAAGTCTAAAAATTAATTATGGGCATATGGATATGGAGCATGGACTTAGGAAATCCTGGACTTAACAGACCGTAGCATATGCTTCAAAGTTTAAAAATGGTATTTTCTGGGTGGGGGGGAAGTCTCGCCTAAATAACAAACTCTTAGGCTTCACAAAATAGTAAAATAAACACTTTGGGTATCTTCCATGGACTGCGGACTTAATTTTTGTAATAAAGTACATTTAAAATACAATTGCCACTCATTAACACTACCATTCATTTTAAAAGGGTACTAGAACAGAAGAACGTAATTTCATAATAAGGGACATATACAAGTTGCTTTAAGCAAAGAATCTACTAATTGTCTTGATTTTTTCCCCCCCATCATCACAGATTAGTGAAAAGTGTAACAGACAACCACTGGTCCAAGGATCTATATATATGGATGCCACTGGTTTAGGTTCTGGCTCAGAGTTTAGGACACAGTTTCTCAAAGTATACTCCATGTAAAACATTAGTCTCCTAAGATTCCATGAAAAAAGGGTTCCCTGGTCTCAAATAAGTTTGAGAAATATTGCATCCTAGAGTTTCCTAATCTTAGGGATTCGTGATGCTCATATTGTTATAAAGGTTCTGAGAATCTTTTCAGAAAACAAATCTGTTTAACTCTGACCTTGGCAGCATTTATATACTCTGCCTACGATAATCCCCTAGGATGAGTGTTCTTTGGTCACACTCAGAAATACGCTGGGTTAGGGGAAGAACAGGTACAATTCTAACTTACTGAAGTTGACGTCTTAAAGCAGAGAAATGTGATCCCTTGACTTATTTAATACTACCACCACCAGAGAAAGAATCCTTACTAGTCAGAGTATGAGTGCACTGATGGGGCCAGTCTGATCATCTTTGGTGGGATTTCTGATGCTCTGATACTCATCACTAATGCTCCTGTTTGTTGAGGCTTTCTTTCACAATAAAAAAGTCTTCCTTCTAACTTTGGACCAGAGCTCTCTGGAAGCGCTGACCTCTTACAGTAGTGACAACTTTAGCAAATGAAGTCTACACTCAGCAGTCACCCTGGAAATTGAAATGACGATGACATGACCCAACTTCAGGTTAATAGGGTAACTTGCCTGTGGAAAGTAAATCCCAGAATTCTTTGAAAATCCTATTCAGTGCTCCCCTTCCTTCTCACTGAAGAGGGCACTTGTGCAAGGCCAGCTCCAGCACCTCCCATTTCTCCAGTATTCTCCCTGTGAGTGGTCTGACACAGTTCTGCATTTAAGTTGAACCTAAGTCGAGCAGAGGCCAGTTTTTTCCCACATAATACCTCCTCAGAAGAGTCTCAATGGCCTAAAATGATCTAACAAAGGCACACAGGACTCAGTATTAATGGCGGAAGAAGAAAAAGAACATTAGTTTTTTGTAAGTATTTTCATCTTAGAATAGAAGCTCTGCAAGAAAAGGACCGTGACTCTCGAGTCAGCATGAGGGACAGGGGCATCACAACTTTCCCTGGCCTCTCTAGCATTTCTAACTGGACGACGGTCTGGCCCCTCCCTATTCTCATGTTTCTTCCTGCTTTGTGAAGGAATGATATAAACCAAGAGAAAGGTGACAACATTTAAAAGACTTTACTCTAGGGGAGACTCCCCACATCCACACACCACACTGGAGTTCAGAGTAACAGTGATTTGTGTTTAACAGAAATTTAGTCAAGATATTGAAGTAAAGAAGGCATTTGGAATTTATAGAAATTCTACATTTACAGGGAAAAAATTCATTTGGTGGTTCTCTGAAGCAAGGCTACGCCTAAGATAAAATGGCCTAAAGATGCCAATTCAGGATATTGTTTCCTTCACAATAAGAAACTTTAAGGAAAGTCTATTGAAAACAGTAGACTGTTTGCCTTCGTACAAACATTAGGTATAATAAGAAGATTAGAACTTATCCAAAGTTCCAATATGCATGCATGCGTGCAGGGAAGTTAATTCTGAAAAATCTCTGACTCGATAATTAAGCCCTCTGTACATGAGTAGATGACTAACGCCTGTTGCTTGAGGAAGGTTTTGTTTAATGCTGGCAGCAGGTGAACTCCAATCACGTAATGAAATATCCCAACACCTGCCCTACACAAACTAGCACTAACTGCTGGTTTATGGAGTGGAAGGCCAGGATTTGGTTCCTTAGGACTCACGCAGAGTAGCATCTCTCACTTGTCCCTCAATCCCAGGTGAAAATCTCGAAGAAAGGCACTGCCAGAGTTCTTCGCGTGAGTTTAACAACGATGGCCAATCACAGGAAGTGCAGAAGGTGTGGGTGCTGAGACAGGATGGCGCTGCCCAGGCACTGACTGTCCACTTTGACCAGGCTCATCTAAGCACTTGACACAGATGTTACTGAAACCAAGTACTTACATAGTATTCAGCAGAACTGACGGGACTTCCAGCCCTGAGAAGTAGCCTCGGAGGGAGGGAGCCAGCGCATCTGGAAAGACATGTAGGGATAAGGCTGTGAACCAGGGCTCCCACTGGACACTCCCATTCCTCACAGAGCATCCTGCTGGGCTGCCATCCCCTTAACTGTTCTGAGACTGCCTGTGGGCAATCCTCCCCCCAGGGGCTGAGAAGAGCCAGAGCAGCTCCAAAGAAATTTTCCACACCTGCTGCTGAGTACAGGGGCCAACCTCTCAGGAAAGCGCCCACCTCAAGGAGCACCTGAGGTCCAGCAGCTCCCCTGCTCCCATCTCCCTTTTCACAGTTAAGAGCTACTGCTGGGCTAAAATCTGGCCCAGTGAGCCCCTTCTTCCATACTCACTCAGCAACACCTAAGCTGGGGGGCAGGCTGGCTAACGGTTTTCTGAGCAGGATGTGGAAACATGTATCTGCTTTGATAAGGAAGGGATGGTTCATGACCCATTCATGCCTGTGGTCGCCGGACTTCAGCTTCTGCTCTTATTCTTTTAGAAAAGGGGTTCTGGCTTCTTGGCACTGTGTGGTGTTTGAAACCCTGTGCCCTCTGCCCACTCTGCTGAGAAGGACCCATAGCCCCATCTCTTCCATTAGGTTTCCAAAGTGGAAGGCTGGCCCCAAACACAAATGGATTGACTGATACTTTGTCCACTTGGCAGAAGGTTCTGGTCTTGTACTTGAGGACAATGTGAAAAAAACAAAAGGGCAACTGCACTTTGGCTTTAACAAAGGTCAGTTTTGCCCCAAGCCCTGGATGGAGGCAAGAGATGCTTGCATACTGCTCCTCTGTGTACACTGGGGAGAGATGGCCGCCCCATCACACCATGAGCAACACAGGAAGCTGGGATGGGGCAGGGAGAGTAAATTACAACAAAGGGGGAAGCTGCACAGGAGAGGGCTGGACGGCCCACGGGGAAGCGGCATCCTCCCCAGTGTGGCAGGAGAAGGACTGCTTTTACCAGGTCTGGCCCACACCCATTCACCTGAAAGTTTCTAGAATAGCATGCAATGCTGGAAGGAATTTTACCGTGACAAATGTACTTCAGTAGTTTAATAAAACATTTCTTGCTGCAGAACCCCTTTTCCTACGGCACCTTATTCAGGTCTCCAAAGTCCGAGCAGACAGATGATGGGGCATTCCGATTGGGGTGGAGGAACAGGGGCCTGAGGCCTGAGAGGCAGCTCAGCAGAACCAGGGGCTCCGGGGATTATGAAGCCACCCCGCCTCATCTTACCTGATTTTACTGGTGGGGAACTCAATTGAGGTCTGGGTCTCTGAATCACGTCCCCATGGTCACAGAGCCCAGGTCTCAGGCTCCACTAGCTCTCCCACCTTGGTCCTAAGAGCCGGGCCGTCCTGGAGAAAGCCCACACAGAATCCCTGCCCTGCTGCCCTGGGCCACATGCAGAAGTCCTTGGAGTTTCCTTCTACCCCACGGGCCTCCTCACAGAGCGGTCATTTCTTCTCTGGCAGAGTGAGGGTCATACTGGGGGACTCCTTCCCAACCTGGGGGAGAGGCGTCTGGCCTCACTTCCTTGGGAAATGGGGGCTCAAAAAGGACCAGTGATGCATTTTTGAGCTTCTGCCTACACCAAGAATCCATCTCAGGGGACCCATTGGGCCAGCTGTGCATTAGAGACCTCCTGGGGGACGACATCAGATATTACTAGAAAATCAGATTACCAGCTCGAATGGGGTCCCTGTACTGTGACGGCAAAGCTGTATACCTCGGGAGCCACCAGCAGATACTGACACTCATTTAAGGCAGAGCCAGTCGTTTTCAATACTCATAGCAATTAAAGGGACAAGGGACAAGAGGGTCCAGAACTCTTCACATGCAGGTAGGCTAAAAAAACAAGTTACTTTGGGAATTTAGGAGTATATGCAGGATAAAGGAAAGAGAAATAACGGGGGGGAAATGTGGGAGGTGGTAGGGCCAGAAGGGAGGGGAAGGGTAGAGTACAGGGGAGGAGGGAGAGAGGGCAGAAGGGAGGAGAAGACAAAAGAGAAAGACACAAAGAAAAATTTCATACCTACCCATGGCTTATGGCTTTGTGCATCTGAATCCACTTGCTCACTAAGCAAAGGGCAGAGTTGGAGCTGCCTTCCTGAGACAGGTGGTAAAGGTAAAGGATGGGACGGGGGCACAGCCCTGTGGCAGGTGGGGGGCTGGGAACCTAAACACACAGTGGAAGGATGGGGCTGTGTGCACCGGGATGGAAGGAGCGCAGTGGTGACAACTGGGTGCTGCCTGGGTGTGGGGCTGGGGTACTGAGCCCACGAGGCCAAGACATGATGGTGTTTCACAGAAGAGACACAGGAAGAGGGAGGGCTGACCGGGGGCTGGGGAAGGGGGCAGCCACAGAGTGGATGGCATGATTCTTGTTTCGGTGAAGGTGACTGCAAGAAGGAAGGCCCTCATCTCCCGTGCATCCACTCCTGCCTCTCTGACCACCTGTCTCACACGCTGGCCTCTTCCACCCACACAGCCCTTGCATTCTCCCTGTTGCACCCTTGGCTGTGGTGTGTGGGACCAGAGTGCTACAGTTAGTTTGGTTTAGAACACCCGAGCACTCCAGGGTGACAAGCAGGCTGATTCTGAGCTGTAGTCAGCCTGCTGGCCGATTCTCAGGGGGGTTGTAGTTGTGATGGAATCAAGGCAGGCCCCAACTTCATCACTCTTGTGCCCCATGGCTTGAACACTAGTGCACTCGCCAAGAGGCGCAGCTGCACCCACCTTCCAGCAGAGGGCAGTGCTCCCCAGGCCAAGCCTGAGCTCACCAATGTTCCTGCTCAGTGGGGCAGAGCAGCAGCGCTCATAGGGCAAAACTGCTCAGCCAGGCAGCAGGCCCGGTGAACAAGCTGTTTTGTGCTAATCACTGCTGTCCTCCAACAAGGAAAAAAAAAAATCACTGCTGTACTCTGGAAAAGAAAAAGAAAAGGTTCACCCTTATACCCACTGGGACTGCTTGTTCTGCTGTGGTTTTTGGCCCCAGGTCACTTGTGGCCACTCCTGCCCATTGCCTAGGGGCTGCTTCAGGTGCACCATAAACATGGGAAACCCCTGGGTCCCCTGACACCCTCTCCAGGGACAGTTCAGCAGAGATGACGTCTGCACAGTTGACCTTCCATGTAAAGGCAATGATCCTGTCTGCAGAAAAATGCACGTGTGCTCACACACAAATCCATACTCAAACTGCACACTCACGATCTTGCACACAATTCCAGGGGCTTCTGAAGTCCCTGTAAGAACCTCTAACATAACATATATGATCCAGACTAACACTGATACTTACTCTATGCCAGAGCTGCTAAGCACAGACACGGATTGTGACATGTAAGTGAATAAGCAACATGGAAGACTCTGGGACACTTCTCCACTGGAACTTAGTGACGATGATAGTTGTTACTATTACAACCCACTATCCAGGGGCCACACTGAGATTCTACTGTCTCACTTCTTCAGGAATTGTCTTCTAAAATGCAGTGCCCCTGAAAGGATAATACTGAAGTCCCTAAGACCTTAGCATGGTACCAGCTCCTGTGACTGGTAACACATTGAACAGGAGGAGAGCACCCACAAAAAGAAAGAACTCAGAGCCAAAATAAAATGGAATGCTAGAGAAAGTAGTAAATACCCATAGAAATAATTTCCATCCTCTTCCATTTACAGATGAGGAAACCAAGGCCCACAGGATTAAAATACATTCCCAATAATGTTGCCAAGGACAGGAAGACCTTGACTGGTCTCCAGGGTGGGCCCTCAGCCTGACCCACCAGCCATTCCACAATGGTTTGCAGTGGTCTGTGCTACAGAGCACGGCGTAAAGCACTAGAAGAGTAATTATTTGCATTGTACTATACCCTGTCTAGTGATTGACTGATGCCCATCATCACACTTGCCTTTAAACAGTCACAAGAAGTGCTTACAAGGTGCCTAGCTCAATTAATGGTAGCCATTACTCGTAAATACCCCTTGGTTTAGCTGTTGTCTTCTCTGTGGAATAAAAGGATAAGTCTAGACCAGTGGTTCTCAGAGTGTGGTCTCTGGACCATCAGCATCAACTGGGAACTTGTCAGAAATGCAAAAACTCTAGAGGAGGAGCCAAGCACCTCCATTTAACAAGGCTTCCAGGTGATGATGACAAATGCGCTCAAGTTTGAGACACTGCTCTTGAATAGGGCTTCTAACAGTGTGGCTGGAAGAAGTCTAGACTAGATGCTCTAAGGTCAAGTAAGCTAGAGATAAATGCAGTCTATGCCCTTTCAGCAGATTCCAGATACACATTAGCACATTAAAGTCTCTGAGAAGTTCCACAACAAAGAAACCTGTTTGACGTGATTTAACCCTGGGTTTCCCAAGTTTATCTGACCACGGAATCTTTTTATTATGTAACAGCTACTAATACCTGTGGGGTGTTGAGAAACGCTGGTCTGGAAGGCCTCTTTCAGTGGTGACATTCACTGGATCTAAGAGGCAGAGGCGTGCCAATATGGCATCCAAGTTTCTAGCTCTTAACAAAACTAGTTAGAGCTGGAAGATCGCCAGACTAAATGGGGCCCTGGAGGTTCCTTTATAAGGAGCAGTAAGGATCTTCTTACCTTTCCTCATGCAGGTGCTGTATCTGAATGCAGATTTCTCCAGCACCACAGATTCAGAACCAAGCCCTTCCCTTTTTAAGGCATGGATATTCTAAGATCGGTTTCTACCTCTATTCCCAAGATGGAGCCCAGAACACCCTGCTGGCGCTTTCCCAACCTTGAGCCAACTGCAGCTGGCCACTCACACATTCTTTAATTACAATCACTTCTGGCCCACTCGCTCCAGGCCTTAAGGATCTGCTCTTGAGCAGAATCACCAAATAAAGCATGTCAGATCCTACAGCAAACTTAGTTGAAGGCTGCCAGGCTGAGGAGAGGCTGCCAAGCCTCTGGTTCAAGAAACTCCAAACTCACCAAATTAAACTGGACTGATTTGCAATGCAAAATGATCTTTATGGGACTAATTACAGGGTTCTTTTAAATAGCACCCCAGATTCCTAATAAAGCATTCACCCAAACTGGAAGAACACTTTTCAGGAATTTCTGTTTCACGAAACGAGGCCCACTGAGGATCACTCTGCAAGGAACATCCATCCCCATTGACCCCCGAACCCCAGTCTGTCAGCCCATACTCCTTCTCAGCAGACACAGAGGGCAAGAAATGCAATCAGCATTCTTTCCTACTTGTCTGGCATCTAATATTCCTTGCCTAAAGCAAACAGACAAGCTGCCATTATCTAGGCAAATGTCAAGATTTATATGAACTGGTCCAAAAGTTAAGTCTGCCATTTGACCCACACCAACAGCTGGAAAGGAGGAGAGTAGGAAAGGCCTGGCTGGAGAAGGCCATGCTCTGGGGCCAGCCCTGTGCTCCTGCAACACCTCCCAGTCTGGACAGTGGGACACTGCTGAAGCCTGAGCCCAGGAAGCGACAAGGCCTAGACCCCATGAGCAAGGTCCTAGGCCTGTGAATACCTCCTGCTCACAACAATCAAGGCTGGACTTAATTAAACATAAGCCTTCAGGGATAATTTTCTCTTCTAGGCTTTCAGACTCTTTCCTTGTCTGTCCTAAGCACAAGCCAGGCTCTTGTTTCCAAACAGGCATGTGAAATGTGCTCAGACATCCCAGAAGTTCACTCAAGACGCCACTCAGGTCGAGGGCACCCAAGTGTGTAATACCCTGTGTCAGATTAAGTCCACAGTGGTTGCTGGTCATCCATATTTAATTTTGTCAGTCTGTTAATTTTTAACTATGTTTGCTATCAAGGGCCATTAGAGGTCCCCAGGAGCTGAGCTCGGTGAAGCGAGAAGTACTTCGTGGCAGAGCGGATGAGGCTTGAAGTGGGGTGTCCCACTTTCCCATCCTGTCACCAAGTTCTGGCCTTCCCTACCAGCAGCACAAATCCTGAATAAAACATGATCCCATTTGGAGTTGATTTTCCTTTTTTTCTCAAATGGTTTTCCTGTCACAAATGGTTTTCTTCAAGGAGAAGTTCACTTTCTTTTTATGAAGGCTACATTTTCTAATTCCAAAGTTTCTTTGTGGCCTTGGTTTTGTTTCCAAAGCAGTTAGAATTCACATACTTGATCATATCTGGGTGCCTATTCCTAGAAAGGAGGCCAAAAACCCTGGGTGGACGGCCAGCCGACCCAACCAGAGCCTCACCTCAGCCCACAGCACAGCCACAGGCCACCATTCTTGCCCTGGGGCCAGCTGCTTCTCTTCTTTACCAAAGCATACAGCCTGGGTCCTTAGGCTTCTTTTGTTGGAGTGCGGATCGTGAGTCCCTGCACCTCAGCTGCTTCTTAAGCTACAAAGGGAGGGCTCCGGAGCCTCTGGGCCATGCCAGATCAAGTTCTGACAAAAAGGAAAAGAACTATTTTAATAATTACTACTCTATGCCAAGCATTTTCTTCCCCTCAAAATAACCTCACGAAGTAGGTGCTCATTCTTCCTACTTATGGTTGAGGAAACTAAGGGTCAGTGACGTTAAAATAAACTTGCCGAAAATTCCAAAGGTAGCAGAGTGCGTGGGAATTCTCATTAACATCCGGCCTCTTTGACTCTAAAACACTGAGCCTCGATTATGTGTCAGGCCTTCCACACCATCCTACCGTGATGGTCAGACCACACGTCTGTGAAGAATCCCCAGGAAAAGGCGGGTTCATCAACAGTGCTTACAGGTGTGACTTACTGAGATGCAGGGCCAGGCTCTCACTGCTAACGAGCTCAGGGAAAACAGATATCGGCTCCTGGGTGTTGAGCCTTACAAAGGACAAAGTGAACCGTGCATAAGAAACCTAGAAAACACAGCGCACCAAATGAAGGTAATCCTGCTTCATCAGGAGCAGGCTCCATCAGGAGGAGGCCCACTTTGAGATGTTCTCTCAATCACAGCAATGGTGAGTTCTAGGAGGTCTTACTGGGATCAGCAACCAGGGCCACAGTACTAGGGCCTGACTGGTTTCTGAACAGCTGCTGCCGAAAGCTGCCCAGTGTGGGGAAGTTGGGCCCCAGCAGCAGCAGCAGCTCTGGCCAAAAGAACAACTCTCCTCAACAACTC